CTTGCCATAAATCTACATACTCAGTTCTCCCTGAAGACTACAATTGGTACTTAAACACGCTTCAATGTGTGGCCTTTTTATGTAGTGTTTATCCCAGGGCTACTTTCTCTGTTGCGAAGTTGTCATACAATGGTATCAAATACACCTTGTGCCAGTTTTGCATAGATGTCATAATTTTAACAAAAGTACTGTTTCTGATCATAATGATTGTGAAGTTACTGTATTTAAAAAAAATGAGCATAATGAAAAATGCAGGACTCGTTCTAAACGTGGTGATGACCCCGGTAGCCCCTGCAGTATTGTTCGTGGAGGAGCAAAAGTAGTTCAGAGCAGTCATTTTCATTGATGCTTGTTGTTAAGACAAAGTCCAGGTATACTAGTGCTGCTGCGTGGGAAACTTGACTAAAAACCAGAAAAGATGATGCAAATATAGTGAGAAACACAGCATCCGTGTCATACGAGGTTTTAGGAAGCTAATGTGTCACGGAAGTTAATAAGGAAGGAAGGTGAGAAGAGAGTCATATTCCCTCAAGGAACCTCTCAGTAGGACATTCTGTTCATCATGCCCATCATCTTTTATCAGATATAAAAGTTGGAATCCCAAACAGAGCTTTGTTCTCTATTTCTTTTGTAGGTGCCATACTTCTTATACAGGCATGATGTTCTAGGTATCACTGATGATCATTACCTCCGTCTGTTGCTACAGTTTTATATGTAATTATTCAAATTGTTAAAGATTTTTTTCCAGCCCATATTTCCAGCTATCTTTAATATTTTTATTTTAGCCTTGTTTTCCTCTCCATCCAAAAAAAGAAACCTGAAGATGGCTGGGGGGGCGGGAAGAGGAAGTTCAGATCAAGCATTTGTGACCCTTATTTTATAAAGGTTTATTTTGTAGAAGATTAAACACAGGGTCAAATCTGGTTTTCTTTGGGACTTGGGCTGTTCAGTTGCTCAGAATTTCTGAAAATTTTAATGGATATATTTAAGAGCATAAGTTTTTATTTTTATAGCAAAGTGGAACTTGCCGTGACATCAGATTTGAAGACAATTGTCTGCTACCACCCTTCGCTTGAGATTCCATATGAGCACACAAAAGTATGTCCAACTGCGTATGTTTCTATTTCTTACTCTTGTAAAGGCATAAGTAGTTCGCAGTTTTTAATCTTTAGGGCATCTGTGTTTAATTTGAAATACTTGAAGTACTTTTTTATTATGTCATCAGCATGTCTGCGACGTGAGTAAATGAATGTAGCTGCTGCCATGCGGAGGACCTTACTCTTAGTTGAATTGAGGGGCAGTTGCAGAGTAAGAAATGCTGAGGTGTCACAGCATACAGTAACTCAAATAGAATTAAATGGGCAACTCAAGTACTTGTGCACTACAGAGAAAAACCGTGTCTGTCTACAAGTGTACTCGACAGAGAGGATGTTTGGAATGCAGCGTATAGCTCAACACGCCCGACTCTGTACAGATGCAGCAGTCTGGGCAAGAGGATGTAAAGGGGTGCTGCTGCTGCTGCTGATCTTGCTCTCTTCAACTCACACTTTAAATTCCATTCAGCACTCTGGGCTCACCAACTCCAGAAAAAACTTTTAATATTGAATTTTTATCTATCAGTAGTACTCTTGAGTGTGTTCTTTACACCGACAAAAGTATGTCTAGATAAACTTTTTCTAGTGTACGCTTCTTGTTTCATTTTCCAATTCTCATGTGCTAGTAAAATACTGCAAGCAGTAGCTACATTGCTGAAGTACCCAATGTGAAAATTCTCCATTGAAAAATCAAAGCATTTTAGCACTCTTTGCCTGCAAGTTATATATCGGTATTTTTAAATTTACCGGTTGCGTGTCTCTCAGGAAAAACAGGTGTGAAAGACTAAAACAAGGCAAAATACTTGTAACAGTGCTAGTAGTTAGGTTTCAGGTTGAGAACAAACATCTTGGTCTTAGCAGATGCACAAACAATTAGGAAGTGACATTCTCCAAGGTACAAATAATCTAAAAGCTTTTTTAGCGATGATGATCGTCACTATGAATAAATTTCTAAATAGGAATGAGTGCTTTTGTATTAGTGGAACTGAAGCTTATGAGTCGGCTAGTGAATTGGAAGGATGACATCAGCAATAATGATGGCAGCACTGCTGATTTTGGGGGTAGGGTAATCAGCTGTAGCACCTGGGGTAATTAGATGTTTCTGCACATCTGCTCCACAGTGATGTGGTTTTGTTTGGGGCGGGCAGGAGGGGGATGTGTGTGTGTAAACAGCCTTTACAATAACAGGCACTCTTCTGTACTCTTCTGGTTTCAGCTGTTCAGAGTAAATTGCAATGCTATTTATGTAGCTTGGCTTTTTGATTTTCTTAAAAAAAGGATAAAAAAGAAATATATACACTACTGTTTTTACAGCCCATACCACGGCCAGATCCAGTGAATAATAAAGAAGAAACCCTTGATCAAGTTTTGAAATCCAGATTGACTGAAAAAGAGCTGCAGAACAACAGAGGCCCTACGATTGAAGAGCTCAGCAAAATGTTTTACACCACAAAACATCGCTGGTATCCTGTGGGACAGTAAGTGTTTATTTTTCAGTGTTTTTTCCTTTGGGATGTTAAAGGAGATACAGGAATAATTTAATGTCTAGATTCAACCTAGGATAAGTCACGTCAGACAAGCTACTGTTAGCACACGGGCTACTACATAAAATCTTAGGTGCAGTGCTATGTAAATGGAAGACTGTATTTCCTAAGGTTTTTTTTAATACTGCCCCTTTGGTAAGCTTTGCAACTTTTTTTTTTTTTTTAAAATACGTCACAGAGTAGAAATTTTTCATACCACCTAGTTAGCTAATGGTTCAGGTGATTTATTAAAGTTACATAAATGAAGTCAGCATAAGAGAATCTAGTATGGAGAATACCCTCAATGGATATAACTGAATACAGCTTGGAAATATGCATTGCCTATTCCTTAACAACTTTTCAGAAAAAAACTTAATGGGGTGATTCTCAGACTTAAGAATAGGAGAGGTTTTTCATTTGCTTGGTGTGCCTCGCATTCAGAAAGCTAGGGGGGAGAGGTGCAAATGCATATGAGTGAGCTTAAAGAGGAACTACATACATTCAGATATACCCTGGGAAACAAAGAGCATTCTAGTTTGCGTTACTCCTTTCCAGTGGGTGTTACTACACCTTTTGGTAGTTGCTAATTTTGTAGCTATGGAGACTTGATACAAGCAGAATTTTTTTTTTTTTTTTTTGTCCACAGGACACTTTTTAATTATTGTGTTTTGGGAGTAGATAAAAGGAATGAAATGGTAGAACTTTGTATGGCCAAGGGGTAGCTGTCACTTTAATGAGCATCAAACGGGATCTTCCTTGGGTTAGGGTACGTAATTAAGAGGGAAGAAAGGATCATTTTGTTGTGAATAATTTGTTTTTTTAGTTTGTCTGCAAAATATGACACTATTTAACGTACAATCTGGCATAACTCCTTTAAACGTCAAGTCTCCTTGTTCTGTAGCAATCATTTTAGCCAGAGGAAAAGCTGACGATGTAATAAAATTAACTTCACGCGAAGGATTAAGAATATACAGCAGCCTTTGTACCTGTTCAGCTGTAGAACCGATTGGATTATTGCGTGCCTGTGGCAGATGTCACAGTAGAAACGAGTAGCGTTACGTAACTCCATGAACAATGGGGACGACGTCTAATGAGTGGCGATGGGTTGGGCTCATGTCTCTTGTGTCTTGCGTACTTGTGTAACCTCCGGACCACTCGCTGGGTGGGGGGAAATAGCAGGAGAATCTAAGTCTCTCCAAAGCTCGCATTCACTGCAGCCTTTTTATCTTCTAGATATCACAGAAGACGCAGGAATCCTAATCCTCCCAAAGACAGATAATTAAGAGAACTTCTTGTTCGTCAGCACTTTGCTATTAATCTGTAATGGAAATAAAAATGACAGAAAATCAGACGTTTGGCAATTCCGTGTGAGTGCTACCACTAAGACATGCTTGACTGAATTTGTTGTTTTCTATTTCAAGTGGTCAACAGTAGAAAACCAGCAAAACTGCACGACTGAAACAGGGATCCGGTGAAGGCCGTGGCATATCCACGGTCAGTGAATGCACTGGTGATGGAGTGCTCCGACTGAACTAGGTTGGAGGTTTATCGTTGGTACAGCGAATGCACAGAAGCATTATGTCAGAATGAGAGGTCTAGAGCTGGACACGTTGGGGTTTGGTGTTATTTGGGGGAATTTTTAATTTTTTTTTCAGAAATCTAGTAACAGAAGTGCAGACGAGCTTGAATACTGAGGTACTTATGAAATAGTATTTATGAAAAATATTATGAGGTATTTATCAAAACAGTGAAATAGTTTTTACTTATTCTGTTATGCTTGTAAGATATTTGTTCCCGTGTTAATTCTGTATCAGCTGAGTGATTGTATTTAGAGCTAATGTCACGTACTGAAAACCAGCCGACTTGGTTAAATTTTAGCTTCCAAGGCGCAACAACTCACCCTTCTAAATCAACCAGCATGCCCATATATCTGAGGTAACTTCTGTGTGCATTTGTGGTTTGTGAGGTTATTTTTTTGGTTCTGGGTTTGATTTTTTTTTTTTAAACCCACCCCAACTACCATTCAGTGAGGATGCCATGTTTATCTGTAAATGGGAATAGCTGTAGCTCAGGCGAGGAAGAGTTCTTGAAGACTCCCAGCTCTGTCTAGCTTACCTAAGGGGAAGGACTGGCCCTTCACTATACAAAATGCTTTCTATTAAAGAAATTTGGTCTGATTCCGCTTCACAACTTTAGCATTTTGTAGTGCTTAAATGTTTCTGCTATTCTGAGCCATCTAGCATTTTTCGTCAGGGAAACGAGATTCTTTACTCCAGTCTACAGTTTTAGGCGTCAGCCTTCTGATAGAAAGGGCTCGCTTGGAACATTGTGCCTCTGCAGCGATCCCAGTGACTTCATTAAGTTGTCTTAGCAGATCCTAAAAAATAATCCGAAAATAATTATCCCATATACGTCACACATTTTGATTGTATTTCCTTTCCAAAGTGACTTGCGTAAGATGGGAAGGTTGTTGTTGCTTGTGTTAGTCTAGCGGCATTTTGCCCGCATGTGTTACCTACACATTTTGCTAGAAGTGGAGTACTGTGTGAAGTCTCTAATCCCAGTCCTTGTTGATACAAAGGACACTGACTTTTCTAAAGTGATTACTAAACCACCTTTTTTCCTCGAATTTCCTTTAATTTTGGAAAAAAAGTAATGTTGGATGCATGTAACAAGACTGCTAGTCTTAAGTTTTTTAAAAAAATTTAAATCTGCATTTTTAAATCCAAATGCCAGTTAGCTGGTAACGGTTTATCACAGCAGAGCATGAAATTGTTTTGCTTATTCTCCCTGTTGTGCTTGTAAGATATCTGAGTCTGTGCTGAAGCCTACACCAGTCAAGTGACTTCTGCTCCGTATTCTGTGACGTGTTGCTCGTGTGATAACAAGCGTGCTATCATGAAGGAATGAATGTCTGTTGTGTCTATGAAAAGGATCGCTGCTTACTCCGCATGTTCAATCGCATGACAGTAGTTTTTTTTTCTGCCTAGAATATAACTTTTAAAATAGTTTTTAGTAACTTGTAGTATGATGATTTTTAGTATTCTCATCAGTTAATGGTGCCTGCTACTGACACCAGTCCGTAAGTGAGAACCTCACATCTCATGTTTAGCATTGTTGTTATGTTCCACTGCATTAAAATGGAGCCCCCTTTATTTTTTTGGAAAGCTGAGACCTAATTTGTCACCGTTTGACTTTACTCCAGTGTAAGAAAAGATAACCTTGGATTAATATAAACTTCCAATTATTTTCCCCCCTCTTTCTCCCTGATACTTTTGCTTAGTGCTGCCTAATACTACTAAGACATTTGGCTTTACAGAAACCTCCTGTTAGGACATTTGTCTGTTCTTGTCTGTCAAACCCTGTTTATGATCAAACATCCGCAATCACTGTAGAAATGCTGGATTTCTCAATGTTTCCCAGACATTTTTGGATACTTTTCAGGAACTTTGAGGGCTGAAAATCTATGACGTGCTAGACAGCTGTCCTTTAAAGTACTTCCTCTTCTGACCAGTTACTGGAAACTGAGCTTAAAACACACGTGTTCACTACATGTACCCTCTGCCATTTTGTTATTACATTAATTCACAAACCCGGCATTTTAGAATCTTTCCCTGCATTACGCTGCCACTGTCAGTCTTTCTATGTTCTCTCTCACTGGATCTTTCTCTTGGGTGATCTGAAGCATGACCTGATTGAAATTCTGCTCTCGCAGTAATTCCACGCTGTCCTGACGCACCAGGTCTGAAACACCTCCATACAGCTGTCTTTACCTGTTTCTCTTCACTGCAAACTTGGAATAAAAAAATCCATCCATTTGGTTCTTGTCTCACTTCTACACAAAAGAACAGTCCATTTGAAAGTTAGTTCGGGATTTCTGTTTGCTGCTGCTCCTGTTCTTTGCAATTGAAAACTTCAGTTGCTTGGAATTGAGAGTGTTAAGTGGGCTCTGGTGTCTTTGCATACAGTTTTAGGTGCTCAGCTGTTTGCTTCGTATCTAGTAGTTACTAGCTGTTCCAGACCTTACTAGGCTCATTGCTCTAAGTAGTATACAGTTGGGGACATCTCACTGATTTTACTTTTTTTTTTTTAATGTCTCGGTAAAGGTCTTTTCGGGCTGTGCTTGCTGCCTGCCATTGGAAAGCTGTTTGTCCTCAATTCAGACCGTTTAAATCCCAGTTCAATGTATCTTGATGTCCTAGTGAAGAGAAAGTTCCTTCACTTCCTCTAGTTAGCCCTGCATTAAAAAAGGAAGCGTGCTTTAGCTGTTTCTATGCGCAAATTATGTCATTCTGCAGATTCTTGGTACTACCACCAGGAGGCAAACTTGCACAATAACTCAACTGGATTTGGCTGAAACCAGAGGATTTTGCAGTATTGTCAAGTTTAGGCTACAGGAGACATGAGCTAGCTGCTCTGCAATGACATTTGTAAGAACTTAAATAGAAGGAACTTCCTAGCAGATCTGAGAGTGGTTGGATTCCAAGGGTCAGAGGTTCTTGTGCAGGACTTTGGCTGTGACTGATGGGACCTCTGTAAGGGATGGCAGGGATGGATGTTCACGCTTCAACAAAAAAAGCCTCGCCCTCCCGGTTTTGAAAAAAGGGGCCAAGAGTGGAGCAGCAATGGGAGCCAGCTGCTGAGTACACCCCTGCCGCAGGTCTTTGGTCTTTGTGCCTCCGTTCATTCCTCGTGACTGTAATGGAGGTAGCAGCCACCCCTCACGTTACTCGGAGAGCTCCCCCCTGTCCCTTTGCTGTTGTTGTAGCTCTGAATTTCGGCTGCTGTGTCTGAACTCTGCATTTTTCACTTATTCCCATCTTTATGTATCATGCTTGTTCCATCCTCAAAACCAGTACCAAGTTATATAATGAAGAGATCAAACAGAAGCAGACTGCATTCCTCTAACAGAGGGCCTGTATTTTGTTTTAATGCTACAATAGGATAAGACTGACTTAAAGCCCACCTTTCACTGGAGTAAATGTCAGGCGAATTGTGTACCTACAACAGATAAAAGCTGGATTCACCTCTAAGTTGAGACAGCTACTAATTAGACATCTAAGCCTGAGTTAATCTTTGTAGGCTCCCCTTACACTCAACTGACACAAAAAAAAGTACTTACATGAGGCAGTTGATCTTATTTCAAGGTTTTATTGTCTAGAACGTGTCACATAAGCTGTTCTCTGGAGGTGATTTTTCTTTCTCATCTGTGAAAGGAGGATGAAGCTTAGCTGAGATTCAGATGCCTGTGTTGCAGCAAATAAAAGCAGACTTACCTTTTTTTTTTAAGAGACCATATATGTAAAAGAAAAATACTCCACTTAATTTTAAGACAAAAACATTTTTTGCTGTTTCTGCTAGCCTTCAATCGCATGTAGTCCACATATAGGAACTCTCTTCTGTATAGAGTAATTCACACACATTTAATTTGTAATTTTTAATAAATTGTGCATAGGATTTTAATCTCCTTATATTTAATCAATCCTCCAGTGCTAAAAGGTAATACTTAAGCTGTTATTTTTTTGTTTCATTTGGTGTGTAGTCACAGGAGACATAAGATAGTTACTTATTTTATGTATCTTTACAGTACTTCTTCTAATGAGCTCATGATCCCAACTGTTACCTCTAGGTGCTTCTAGAAAAATAAACACAATAAATGCTAATTCACTGGGTCACTTGCACGGGATTCCCTGGAAATTTAAAACATGATATACACAAAATGTTAGCTCCACTGTATGTGACTCCAGCTGTTGGGACACTGCACACCAGCAGGTGAGAGCTGTGCGGAAGCTGCCTGAAGCAAACGGCACATTTGGGCAGCAATTTTGCGTTGCGCGGCTTCTAGAGCAGTTAAAGCTGATGGCCTGGAGTACCGCCTTTTTGTGAGAAACTATAATCAATGTATCACAAAGTTTTTCATCACCTAGAGGCACCACAGGCAGCTGGAATGGCCAACACAGCCGAGCAACTTTGCCAATTAGTCTCTCTGAAAAATCAGAAAAGTAAGAAACACAGAAACCTGTTGTGCTTATATTCAGCTTTACTGCTCATCAAGACGAAAAACTGTCTTGGGTCAGAGGCAGCTTACTGTTTTGCATAAGGCCAGTTCTGACTGCTACCAAAGTTTACAATTCCTCAGCAAAAGAATCTCCCTACTAGCGAAACATGAGGTATCATAGAAGAAGAATTCTGGAAGAGCTGGTTTTTAGCATCTCTTCTGCCAAAACTAATAAAAGTTTAACCATGTCAGGATCACAGAAAATTCAAATGAACAGTGAAAAGTGACTGTTAAATTCAGGTACTTGCATTAAGCCATTATCATGTAGAATAAAAATTAGCCTAAATAAAAGATTACACTATTAAAGCATGACCCTACTCTACAAACATGCATTTCCTACTCACTAATGCAAACAAAACAGAGCTTTATAGTTTCACGTAAAGATTAGTGTTTCTTAAATACTGCTAGTCTTTGTCATTATTCAAATTTATGTTGTATTTGTTTAAACAAATAATACGCTAGTAGCATTTTTCTGAAGTCAACATCTGTAGGAGTTACACCGGGTCAGAGCTGTGCCACAACAGAGGTCTTCACCTTCTGTTTTAGTTAAGACACACTTTGAGAATTTCCACTGAATAATAAACTAATGCCAGGAAAATGTTTTCCTCGACCCCTAATTAGTTAACAATTGGTCGGTATGCAGCAGTGTAAGGCTTCACATCCCTTTTCACATTTTTTTGTCATCTTGTAATTTTTAATCCTGACTGGTTTAAGTATGTGTTCACATGTAATTTTTCCAAGAACACCTCATATCTTTATAGAACTCCCTTTCCCCCAAGCCATTTTAAAATCCTGGCATTAGTGATGGGGAAACAGGGTGGCAGCGAGTTCCACAAATTTTAGAATTGGATCAAGAAAAAGGATTTCCTATCCCGAGCAGAGGCAGAGTACAAACAAAATTCATGGCAAGTTCACCATAAGCAGAGATAAGAAAAACAACAGAGAAATTCCCTTTCTAGAGCATACATTTGTTTGTTCAAATCTGCTAAAATAAACGTGCTGTTTGTTGGCTGCACGGGTTACAATTCTTTGACTTTATATGGCCATATTTGTTGAAGAAAAAGACTTGAAATGAGCCCAAAGAGGCCACTGGTAAGGCTGAATGGTGACACAATGGCCTGTGAAGAGCAGAGCAGCTGCGGTTAGTGCCTACACGGCGCTTAGCCAGTCCTTGTCCAGACCGAGGGCAAAACCACCAATCGCTGGAACTGGAAGAGTGTTTTGCTTCACTGCGACCAAGATTTTAACTCGTGACTTCGTGGAAAGGATACACGAGAAACCTTGTATTTCTTTTAAGAGTGATGCATTTGTCCTGCAGTCAGAATACCTGCATCTACACTTCACCTCAGCCAGAGGTGGTCCCCAGCAGCAGATGATACTCGGGGTCCCTCTGAGCATGTCCCGACCGCCGCAGGCTGGGGAGCAAGCTCAAGCTCTGGCAGCTGATCCCCCCACCCCTCTTCACTACTCCCCCCTGTTCCACCTAGCCCTCCTCAAAGCAATGGCTGCACGCCCCCACAGGGAGAGTTCACACCAAGCGCTGCTCCCAAGATCCCACCGTGTTTGACTTCACCCTGCGTGGTCTTCTACACTCCTCAAGCTGATGGTGCACCCTCAAACATCACCGCATCCCAGAATGTTAATACATACCCTTGCTGTCACGCTAGGAAAGCACCGTTCTCACAGGCTGCAGTACAGTTCCACATAATTTCAGATACTTCAAACTGTAAGACAGATACACAAAAAAAGCAAGAATTACATTTTGGGTCTCAGGGGCACCAGAAAGAGTCCAAAGAGCACTGCAGGATGTGAACATAGGAGTCTGCTCCCAAGGGAATGAGCCCAGCTAGTGTGAATATAAACCAACCCTCTTGGCACCTGGGACTTTTTTTATTTAGAAATACGAGCATGCCCTCTGAAATCAGGTAGCTGGGACTGACATTGTTTTTACAGACAACCTGAGCTCAGACTGTCTTTGTTCAGACTACCAAGTTTGAATGAGTCTGGGACAAGCTTACCAAGACACACAAAACCAGCAACTCACACACATGAATTCCTGTTCTCTAAACAACTTGAGTCATCAAGATTGTCCAATCCAGTTCAGAGATGCCCCAGTTGAGACTCCTGTAAAAATAAAAGGATTTTTCATCTGGATAAATAAAATTAAATATGCAGATAAGAAAGTGCATTTCTATAACTTCAAACAAAATCTGGATTTAGGAACAAGCATCTTCTTCAACAGTCACATCGGAGTGAATGAACTGTACCAAAGGTCGCTAAATGTCAACGTTCTGTAATTCTCAGCCTTCAGAGGATCAAAGAAATCTAAAGAAATGGTTCAAGTTGAGGCATTTGGCAAAATAATGAGGTGAAAGGCTTTCAAAGTTTTCTGGAGAAAAAAAAAGAACAATAATTGGACATCATTCTTAAAATCTTCATTTAGGCATTACTAAATAAAAATGCTGTGTTTCCATTTCAGGGCCAGTGAAATGTCAACAAAAGAAAACAGTGGTATAAAAAACAAATTAAAGAGCTGTTTTTCAGTTAGTCTCAGGACATAAGGGGTATATTTATTTAAAAATCTGTGATGCTGGCAAATAAGCTGTTCGCTTTAGATAGCTTGCCAGGTGGTGTTTTTGGTTTTGGTTTTTTTTTTTTTCCTTTCAGCTGTACTCATATGAGAAATTAATTTTGCTAGAAATACCCTACCAGTTCAGCACAGATTTTTTTAACAATTCATCTCCTTACTTGGTGTACTCTCACCCCCTTAGAAGTGCCCAAGGAGCTGATTCTGAAAATGCCCAAGGAGATTAAAAGATACGCTTCAACTGATTGTTGAAGTCTGTCAGAAGCATAACTGATCAGTCGTGGGGAATTTCATTGTTGTTGCTGCATCTTTTCCATCAGCCAGTCCAAAGGGATTTCATTAACATCTCACTAGTACCTCTGACTAAGTAGGAATTTTGACTAGATTGTGAAAGCTTCTAGAAATAATCTGTTTTCAAGTGTTAAGTATATAAATGCAAATTGAGTGGAAACAGCTGTTATTTACATTCTCTGGATGCAGGATTCCACTCCCTCATGGATAGAAAAGAAAATGTCATTGAAAGAACATGAAGAAATTGGGAAAGTATGGACATAGTAAAAATATATGCAACGGACCACATTGTTGGGTGGTATAAATCAGTACAGTTTCACAGGTTTGCCACCGTAACAATCTATAGCCCACCTGCCAGGAGGACTTGAAGAACTCACCTATTTCTTGGAAAAGCAGAGGGGGGGTTTTGAAGGAATGTACATGCTGAAAACAAAAGCATATGAGCAAATTCATGTTTCAGTCTTTTATGCAATGGCTAACAGAGCGCCAGGCATTTTCAGAAATAGTCTCACAGAACAAAGTCCCCATTCACAGTAAGATTTTGCTATGGACTTCTGTTAGTTTGAGATTACGTTCTTGGAAAAATTACAAAAGCTCCTGAAAAATGCAAGTAGCATATTCTAGACCAGAGTGCCTGAAAGTGGAGGACTGTGCTGGATGGAAAAGAAAGCAGAGTCTGGAAGCTCACCCCTTCAATGGACCCAAAGCTTTATCTTTTTATCAGCCCAGCAGAGGTCCTCCTGTGTGTCCTCTGTACCTGACCCCCTTCACTTACCTGAAGCAGATCTCCACCGTCACATGTTCCACTGGAAAGCTCATGCTCCCTCCTGCCATGCCTGCTTCTGTCTGCAACGTCACTAGCAACCACCTGGAGTAAAACGAACAGTAGCAGACTGTCCTCAGAAAAGGTTAGGCGTGTTTAAAAACGTACACAAAACACATCTGCTGATATCATTTGGACCAAACCGCCCCAGTCAAATCAGCCTTAGGAACCTGGGCTGGGGAATTAAAGGTGGAATTGTTTTGCTGGGTTTTCCTGACAGACGGGAAAAGGAGCTGATAAAAGCAACACAACTAAAGCTTAAGCACCGCAGAAACACTTGGTTCTCAGAGCCTGTAGAGTGATTCCCTCCAGCATTGGTTCTGTTTGACTTGGGATTGCTCTGTGCCTGCCAGCAGACAAAAACCATCACAACACAGGCAAACGTGGGACAGAAATTTCATTCATGTTCCATTTTAGACATGAACTCTCGCCTGCTGTTCTGTCTTACGCAAATGATACATCCGACAGCTAAATGCATCCTTTAGTTCCTTCCCAGAAGAGAGACTGATCCACAGCAGCAGGTTTTGCAGCTTCCTTCCGTCTAGCGTGATGTGGCCTGAAATGCTGGGGAAAAATTCCGCTGTGCCTCAGGCATTTTTCTGGATCAAATTTATTCCCAGAGGGATAATTTATCAGAGAACTGAGCTCTGAAGAGAATGCTAAAAATAGTGTTAAAATTTTGAAATACAGGGCAATGGCACTGAAAGTCGGAAAAGATGTCTAGCCCAAACTCACACTTTATAAAAGGCTTTGCATATTTTGTAATAATTACGGCTATTATTTCCCCTCCCCCATTCATTTGCAAAGACAGAAAGATAATAACAAACTTCAGCAAATCTGAATTTGGTTACACAGAGCCATCTGTTAATTCTGGTATATGGCAGTAGAGGGCATCTAAGGACTTCAAGTCACATATGGTAAGGGATTAAAATCAGATGGCTGAAGGAGTTACTGCTCTCATCCCCAACCATTCACCCCACCCCATGACAGAATTTGCCACCTCACGACCGAACAGCTCATGAAGCTGCTCCTGAATGACTGCAGTTTTGAGCCATGCTGAAACTGGGACTGATCTTAACGCACCAGACGGAAAGCTGAAGCTGTTTAGGCGGAGATGCGTGAGTTAATTTCCCATCCCTGCTGCAGGCAGCGCTCTGTCACAGCCAGGGGAAGGACGGTTCAGGTACAGTTCTCAGGAGAGATGGTAACTGCCTCAAGCAGTCTATCCAATTTTATCTACTACTGTTTGAGCTTTGATTTCCACAGACCTGGCAAAACTGCTTCCAGGAGGGTGCAAGCAATCCTGGGAACAGACAGGCAGTGCCAAGAAAAGGCGAGCTGTGGACCAGTGCTCTTCCTTTCCTTAACCAGGAAGAGTAGCCCCATGTCTATTTCCTCTGTCGAGCCCAAAAAATGCCAGTCTGTCTCTCTGGCCTGTATTTCAGTTTACATCCTCCCAACGTGCCAATCGGTTATAGGACGATGCCTTGAGCCTTCCTGACAAAAAGCAAGCATTAATCGTGACAAATAAAGAGAGAGAAGGCAGATGGCAGCTAGCACCGTTTTCTTGTCATCTGTTCAGGTTTGTATGACATTCCACGTCCACCCTCTCTTTATACTGAAGCAGGGAACGCAGCCGTGCCTGTCTTGAGCCGAAAGAAGCCAACACGCCAGAGGCAGGTTAAGTTCATTACCTGACACTAACATTTAACACACTAACCTGAAAAATGCATTTGATCCGAGCAGCATATGCACATACCATGGGCAGCATATTTTCAATTAACTGTAAGAAGATTAAAATTATATAAAGACATTAGTACACGTTGATTATCCCATTATTCAAACTCCTCAATACAGCAACATGTAAGGCCTTATGCTGAAGTCGATTATAGCCTTAGTCTGAAATTTAAAAGTGGCTCATGCCCAGGAAAAGGTTCTACAACTCATTTAATGATTCACAGTACTCCTGAAATGATATTCATCTGTCTGCTTTCCATGGCAGCACTTTCAGTCATAAACACTTAATTGTAGGAATTCATCCTCAAGGCCAAATAGCTCTGGGTGAATTAAACCATCTTTAATACAAGAACTAGAACAGACATTTAAAATAAATCTTTTTCTGATCGGAGACCATTTATTCAGAGACATATAACCCAGTTTCTTCTTCACCTTCGTTTTGCTTTGTGCTCAAAACTCTCTCCTCTGGAGATAGCCACTGCATCACCTGTTTTAATTTTCCTTATTAGTTTCAGAACTGACTCTTCGCCAACAAAGGAACTTTAATTACTTACGGATTGGCAGAGCACAGGAGAGCTGCCTGCATGCCGTCTGTCAAGAAAACTTTTTTCACAGACATTACTTGCTCTCTTTTACTTTGAGAAGTAGGACTCGCAACTGGCAAGAAAACATCTCAAGCCTCCTCAAGCATAAAAGGCTTGTTTTTTCTGGCAGCATCTAGAACGAGAATGCAAGATTTCACAGTGCTTTCAGCTGTGCTATCTCTAGGATTTTTCTAAAACAAAGACAAGAGTGTACATTTCTCAAAAAATCCAGAACTACAAAATAGTGTGGTTGTGAACATGTGTATGCATAGGTGTATGTCTACATATATGCCTGTGCACTCTTTCTCAGGCATAAACACGCTTTCTCAGCCAAAAAACAAGGTAAATAAATATTAGAGTCACAGCATCTTATATCATAATCGGAATATTGAAATCCATAGCAAATATTCTAGTAGTTGTTTAAAATTACTTCTATTAAAACAGTTCTTGCCAGTAGTCTTCTTCCCTATTGTGTTCATAAAAACGAAGTATGGTAGGGAAGAAAATGCTGTCAAGGCATGTATATTTACAAATTATCCTCAGGTAACTTTCAGCAACATTTAGCTAGTTTTCGTCAGAGTGAAATTGCTTATATGCTCACAAAATAACAAAGTGACAGAATAGACTTTTGCTCACTCTTTATAAAGAAGCCTAACGTAGTATAAGGTGAAAACTGCTGTGTAAATAGTCTTTTTTTTTTATACTTAGTACCCTGTGTCACCACATTCCACTTTTCCTTAAGTCCAGCCAAATTATTTTTATGTTATTTTGTTTTTACTTTAAATTGTAGATTAGAGAAACTATAAAAGCACTACATTTAATGTTTTTAATTAAAGATCCTAAGTGTGTCTAGATAAACTCTTACTCAATTCAGTTGAGGCCTTTAGATGCTACCCTAAGTTTTAAATACTATAAAGCACATGACGAGATAAGAGAAGGATTTAAATTCCACCTTTTGATGGTCAGAGCTTCATGCTTGCCAGTGATTATCTGTCTACCTATCCACTGAACTAAAGGAAATGACCCTTCTTTTTCTCGACCCTCTCTGAAAGAAAATAATCTGGATGTTATTTCAAAGTACTGCTCTCTTGGTGCTACTCTTGATGGTTTGCTTTTAAATTACAAGTGCTGGTTTTCTGTTAGAACACCACTGATTCATAGAAATTATTCACTGGATTTTTGATTATTCTCTTTTACCAAATGTATATTCTTAAGAAAGGTAGAGCATTCACATCTGAATACATAAAAATGACAGGAAATAAGGTGGCAGCTGGTTAAGAGTAAAATTGTTCGCTATACATCATAATTTATTTCATCAAAACATTCTGTTCCTCCAGCAGCTGGAAAGAGCAGAGTGATCCCATTTACGAAAATATTTGTTTTCTCTCTGCTGTATTTATTATGTTTTAGGAACTCTTTGTGAAACAAGCAAACCCTACTCCTGACTGCTGAGTGAGAAATTCTCTAAGGTCTCACATTGCAGACCTTGTTTGCACTGCGGAGCTATGATTAACTTGTTCTAATTTGTTTGAGATAAAGGCTCAATATGCATATTTCTCTGCTCGACAGCCAGACATGCTGCCTGACCACGGTAATCACAGGACAGGGAGGAACCGTGGCAGTTAACACGTTGTCATTTAGATCAGTTCAGGTAAGCAGTTGTCAAAATACGGTCAATAAATAAGACACATGTGGTAAGCAATAGCTGGCCTTTTAACTAAAGCAGATCTTATCTGACCAAATGATATGTCATACATAATGGATATTCTGTGCTGCATCTTTAGGGAGTAAGGATGCAGAGTGCAAGGAAAGGCCCCGTGTATTCTTTCAGATAAATCTAGCCAAATAAATCAGTAAGCCGCCTCAGCAAATCAAAGTAAATTTAGCAAAATCAGCTGGGCCAAAAATGCATTACCCCCTCCTCCACTCACGTCATATTATATAAATAAATCAGCGTGCTAGCTCTCCAGTAAATTTGGCATGCTTTTCAGGAACAAAGTGAAAATAATTTCGAGCAACAGGCACTTCACACTATTGTAAAAACGTTGCTGCCTCCTTCCTTGGGCATGAAAGGGATTTTGCCTGAAGGAAAAATAAAAAACAAATCCACTCGTCCCTCCCCTTCTCTTTCTGAGCACGTACGTCAGAAACATAATATATTCTGTTTGTCGTTTTCAAGAACTCTTAATGTTCATGTTTTCACTACTAATATAAATCTCGATTAAAAATACCTACTATATGGATGATATACTGCCCAAAGCAAAACGTTCATGCACAGTAGAAAGTATCTGGAAAAGAAATCAGAGATTCCTTAAGTTTGTGCCTTTCATCTCCAGTCGGATGATACGCCTCTAGAACTGGCTCAGAAGCACTGGTAACTGTATACATACAGGCAATATTTGTCCTAGAATTGCTGCCCCAAAACATACAGACTAAATATAAATAAAGCACTTGCTTTGAACAGTACTTAGAAATTTTAAATCCCCATTTGCACAAACTGATTTTCTCTTCATATTAATGACTGTGTAGAAGAATTACTGTTTGTTACATGGCAAATTAAAAAACCTTCCTTTGTTTACATGACGGGAGGCTAAGTTTTCAGAGTGCTGCTGCTTTTGTCTTTCTCCATTTCACATCTTTCTCCTACTCCATTCTAATTTTTTTTATGTAGTAGAACACTGAAGGCAGACCAAGTATGCATTAAACATCCTAATGCCAAAGAAGCTAAAAAGTAGCTTAAAGTAGTTTAATGCACCACATGTGGCCCATAATCCAAAAAGTAATTTAATTTAATCACCTTTTCTTACACTTAAAAATTATTTTTTTTTCTCCCCTGTGACTGTGTGAAAGACTCGGGCAGGCAGAGGAGAAAAGCAGCTAACTAACATTGTTGAAAGAAACAGTGAAATACTAACGTATTCCACTGAGCCTATAGCACTTACGGAAGCCTCATACCAGAGAATAAAGGTAACTGTGAACTCTTATGAGGTGCCAAAAGTGTCATTTAAAGATCGATTTGCAGTTTTTAAGTTTGAATTTCATTACTCTTGTAAATTTATCAGATCTTTAGTACTATTTTTAACAGACATTAACTTCTCATGAAAAAAAAAATTAACAGAACTCTGTTTAGGAAAGATCCTGCTGATATACTGCCTATTTAACTTTTATGCTACCTTTTTCATAACAATATCTCAAGTTTTAAGTAACAAGTATTTATTGCATTCTTCTGTTCTTGTTTCTCATTCACCACATAAATCATGGTCTTCCTCTCTCTGCCTTTATAGCAGCCAGCTGTGGTCTTAGAAACAAATTATTATGACTTCAAGTGACGAATAAACAGCAGAAGCAAAGGAAGTCTTGAGGTACTATCCACATAAAAATGCCATTATAGGGAAAAAGAATTACAGGAAAGCTGTAAAAAAGCAGCTCTGCATCTAGACAAGATGCATTCCATTTCTCTAAGATGAATTAGTGAACTTTAAAGGAATAGCTTCAGTTTGAACACTATTATATCAAAACAACATATTTTTGAGCAAAAGCTCTGTGCCTGCATGTACAGATACAGAATTATTTTAGTAATAAAAATAGATCTGCATTCCTCGTGTTGTTGTTCTTCTGAACATAGTGAAGCCAGTGCAATTCTGAAAAAGTAAATTAGATTTTACGCAAGATCTCACATCATCAGCAGCAGAACTGTCAACTAAATTTCAAAGGACACAGACACATTCTCTCCCCTCTTCGTATCTATCCAACGAAAAGTTAGTAGGGATTCCACAAGAGTCACTGGAGGCTGAATCTGAGGCTATCTGAACTGCACGGACAAAAACAGGAGCAAGAATGACCTTCAAGAGCTAAATTGTTTTAAACCATTTCTGAGAATGCTTAAGCAAGAAAGCCCATGTTTGTTCCTCGGAACTTATTTTAAATCTGCAGTGCTGTCAGTGACTTAAACCACCTTTTTTCATAAACTTAATATATTAAATTCAAAAGCACCCAGGCATTGCAAACAGATGAAACCGTACTGACCAATTCACTTAACAAAGTAGAGGTTTTTTTGCTCAGATGAATATGCTTAACTACTAAAAACAGCGCATATTTTTTAAGAGAACTATAAAAATCTAATTCTCTTCACTCATCCCCTGATGTTTAAAAATTGGAAGTCATAGCTGTTACAAAAGCCTTCAGGAACTGTCCTCCACGGTCCTTTTTATTTTGGTTTGGTTTTGGTTTGTTTTTTTTTTTTAAGAAAAGTGGAATTTCGAGAGTTATTGGGGAGTACGACCCAGGAGCGTCCCCGTGGGAGCTTCCTCAGAGCAGGGGAGCCGGCGTGCCGGTGCTGCCCCGCTCCCTCAGCCAGCCTGATACATATTCATTTATCTCTTTGAT